CATGTTATCTCTACTTGAGTTTTGCTTGAGCATAAAATCCAACCTACAATTTGGAAAAATGTTTAAAAACAAATTACCTGAAGTCACACTTAACAGCTCCACCAATAGAGGAATCGCTCCTTCATTAGCCACTAAGGTCTGATTAACTGGATTATTAGTGCATAATATCCGAATGCATCTAGTTGCATTGATTAAGACATCTTCGACTTCAGAATTTAAAATCTTCACCAGAGGAGGAACGGCACCCTGGGAAGTCAAAAGAATAAGTGTTCAAGAGGATCTAATTAGGCACAGTTCCAATGAGTCAAAGTTATAAGTTTAAGGTTAACGTTACAAAAGTCATAAATAATTTTAATGGCACAGAACAGGAGGAGGCCATTTGACCTATTTACTCATGTTCTCTGGAAGTGTAATATAGTGAGACTCACTCTCTCACCTTTCCCTCGCAGACCTACAACTCCTTTCCTTCAGGAAACCAGACTGAATCTCTCCAGTCACCTTTCAATCAGTGGATTTTAGTCTCAACCTACTTAAAGGTATATAATAACTGAAAAGGGTGATTAAAAGTATCTATGAAGCCCTACAGCTCATTTAAAAGATTGAAAGCATAATTTTGCCTCTAGTTACTTCCATTGGTTTGATGCTATCAATGCCACAGAGGGATCAAAATGGCATTTGTTGCATGCACACACTTCAACTGTGAACTTCACTCATAAGCATACTAACAATTAAAATCTGCGGGAAGGATACAGTGCAGGAAAATCATGATACAATCAGCATCTGCAATGCCAACTTGAAGTGAACTGCACCATTTCAAAACTGAATGTTCTAGCCAACACCCTTTCCTAACCTCACAGAGGTGAAAATTGTATATTCAGATAGTAGGAACTGCAGATGCTGGAGAATCTGAGACAACAAGGTGCAGAGCTGGATGAACACAGCAGGCCAAGCAGCATCGTAGGAGCAGGAAGGCTGATGTTTCGGGCCTAGACCCTTCATCAGAAATGGGGGAGGGGAAGGGGGTTCTGAAATAAATAGGGAGAGAGAGGGAGGCGGATAGAAGATGGATAGAGGAGAAGATAGGTGGAGAGGAAACAGACAGGTCAAAGAAGCGGGGATGGAGCCAGTAAAGGTGAGTGTAGGTGGGGAGTTAGGGAGGGGATAGGTCAGTCCAGGAAGGACGGACAGGTCAAGGGGGCGGGATGAGGTTTGTAG